TTGTGAAGAATGCCAGCAAGTGTCGGGGCCGGAAGTTGCAGAAGGAGCGCATCACCGTCCTGTTTACCACCAATGCCTCCGGTACCTGTAAGCTCAAGTTATCGGTGATCCACACAGCACGCAAGCCGCATGCCTACAAGAGCATGGACATGACCAAGCTAAATGTCCACTGGCTGACTGCACGTAAGGCCTGGATGTTCTCTACACTGTCCCTCTCCTGGTTTGATGACTGTTTTGTTCCCGATGTGAAGAAATTCTGTGAGCAACAGAATGTGCCATTCAAGATTTTGTTGTTGCTGGACAACGCACCAGGACACTCGTCCCTACTGTTAGATTGTCACCCCAACATAAAAGTGGTCTTCCTTCCTCCCAACACTACGTCTATAATACAACCCATGGACCAAGAATTGATCTGTAATGTAAAAGCTGCATTCTCTGCTAAAAAATTCAACCTACTGAACTACTACACCAACACCAAGGAAGAGTTGCGTAACCTGAGTGACACCAACACCGATAGCAAGAGCGAAGACGACGAGGATCAACAGTTGGCAGAGCAAGAAGTACTTTTAAAACAATTCTGGAGAACATTCAACGTCAAGAAAGCTGTGGACTTCTTGGTGGAGGCATGGGATCAGCTGTCTGTAGCAACTGTTCGTCACGCATGGAGACATGTGTTGCAAGGCATTCCGGGTGTTAGGCAGAGTAAATCTGTGACTGGTGAGGTTCAGACTGTTGCAGTAGCAGTGGACCTTGCCAGAGAAGCTGCGCAGAGTGTTACAGCTGCAGGCTTCTCCGAGACCACCAACGACGACATCCTGGGGGTGATAAGGGATCCTGATGTGACTACCGACGAGATGATAGATGATGATGATGTCAGTGAAGAGGCAGGTGGTGCGTCATCCCAAGAAGAACGCCGCTTTCCCATAGTAATGTTAGGGGTGCCATCGAGTGTATTGAGAAAGTCAAGCTCCTCCTTTCCGACGACCCTGACGCAAACAGGTATGAAATCTTCACTACCCAGCTGTTGCAGACTATGGAGCCCTACATCAAGGTTTATCACGACAACATAAACACCAGCCGTCAGCAAAGCATAACCGAGTTCTTTGCCCGCAACCAACCACAGCCAGCCCAAGCCAGTGATAGTGACAGAGGCAGAGACAGTGATGATGACTTTGAGGGATTTGTCAGGGAGGCACTAGTAAGTGTGGATGACACCGATGAAGACTCACCTGAGGGCCAGTAGCCTGCCCTCTGCCTCGGAACCAGCCTCCATTCCCCTATGCCGACCCATCTCTTCTACTAACGTAAGTGTTAACCCCAACCTTGTTTTTTCTAACCTAACCTTCAGTTTATTATTCTCTTATTGATTGTTCCCTTCTATATTATGTGTGGGTGAATACCATCATAAAGTTAAGATGTTATTTTTAGTAAAATGTACGTATTGTGTAGGGAAAAAGTGGAGTTTGGGGGTCGGCCCGGTCTCTATTTCAATTAATCCCATATGTTATGTTGTTCACTTTACTCGTTTCTCACTTTACGCGGGCCGCCGTGGGTTGAATTAACCGCGTAAAGTGAGGGTTCACTGTATATGGCAACAATATCATATGCGTACACAAGTACTGTAACCGAGTGTAGGTAGGGTACGTTTGTCTCGTCACTGGTTAATCGGTGTTTCATAGTAAAGTTAGGGCATAACTAAGGCTGGACATGACCCCTAAGATGAAATGAAGGTACAGTACTTAATAGTGTTAGGTGAGCCGAAGTTGATTAGACACATGAAGACTCTTAGAATGACCAACGGAGACAATAGCAGTGGAGAGAGATGATTCGTTAACCAAATACTGTATGGCTTTTTATATTAAGTGATGAGGGTGAAAGTGTGAATGCTGCTCTTCAGTCGTCTGTGTGTTTTATATCACCTCGTATGGGAGGAGCTTGTGAATGACGTCACTTTTTAATCCTAATTAATGATAAGCCGAATTTTCCCGCCACAGAAGATCAGGCGATGTGAGGAGAAGAGAGGTGGGAGGTGGTGATCATTGCCGCGACCGACTAGCTGGCACCTTACCATGCCGTTTCATGTGCTAGTGGAATTTTCAATGCGCAATATGATACGGTTATCAAAATACATGACACTCGTCTTTTTAACTAGGTTGATAAATAGTTACCAAGTGCAGAGATTGCAACAGAACCCAGTACTGTATAGGCAAAGTTCTGCATAGAGGCAGGCTGAAATAGTTTGGGCATGTAAGGAGAATGGATTAGACCAATTAGGTCAAGAGATGCATAAGCCTAAATGTGGCCACCCATTAAAAATGGCCATACCGAGGGACCCTCCATTATTCTTGTTAATTTTGTCAAAGGCTCTTATGAAGCTCAGTACCATTTGTAATTCCACAGTTTGGGCTGTGACAGTCAAACATAGTCATTTCATTAAATATGGCTGCTAATTCTGCTTTTATCGGTTTCTTATTGGTGTTCTCAACTTCTCGAACATTTTTTTTTATACCGTATAGATACGTATAGATACATTGCCTAAAGATTGACCGAAGTTCATGGTAGTGTAGAAAGCAAACTAATGAGGTCAATTCGATTGTGTAATTCTTCTCAGAGATACAACAACACAATGTTTTGTGACTCACGTTACATTGTCAAGTGTAAAGAGATACATAAAGGTTCAGGTATACGTGTACAGAACGACGGTCAAGAGACAAAAGTGTTGACCAATAGACTAACGAGGTTGGGGATAGGATCCTCATGTCTGATCAATGGCAACGCATTGCCTCAGGTAGGCGGGGCATAACCTAACGTGAGGTCATCACCTCTACCCTTGGATTGGCTGTGAGAGGACATGTTACGAGCGCTAGGTAAAGCCAGGAGATCATCATTTTGCAGGTTCATACTTGAGGACCTCACCTTAATGTAGAGGACCTCGAGTATCTAAAGGCGTCTGGGGTCGGATGAAGAGCCTAAAATGGACATACCTCTCTCCAATATCTCACTTGTGAGGGTGGCGTTGTGGCAGGATCTTAGGTGTGTCTTTGGGGGCTTCCATTTTGCAAATGGCACTTAACACGTTGAGACAATTTAGCGGTGGCCACGTCTATATATGACGTGGCCGTGGGCACTGGAATTTATGTAATACATGACTCCTCTGGAATGTCGCTGGTCTTGGTGCTGGGTTGTTTATAAGAAGATGTGATGTTTTCTGGCTTTGATAATATATAATGAAATCTATTTGGTGCTACTATAGCATGCAGTCCATAATCTTTAGTCTAACCTAACCTAACTTAACCTGATACTTTTGGTCATTGTTGATAGGCCTCCAGTTTTTCTATATTATGTCCTTGATCACACCGCTCATCCAGTGGAAGTCCTTCTGCATGGTTCCCACGGTACCACCTATCCAGGTTTTTGTTGATAGAAGCGCAAAGTTCCTTGTTTGAGTAATCATTATTAACCAAGACCTGAGTGACCCGGTCTAGTTCTTGAATAGTAGAGGTCCACAACGACCAGTGAGATAGATCCTTCCTCTCAAAGGCATTCATGGTGGAGAACCTACACTGCTGGGGGCACTCACTCTTGTTGTTAAAGTAGTTTCAAGGATTGGTGGCTTTGGGATATGATAGTGGAGTCGAAGTGATCACTGGACCGTTTTAATTGGAAATTCAGAAAAGGGAGGGGAGGGGGGAAGATGCTATCACTGCTGTATCATGTCACTTTAAGCTTCCAAGGTCATTACAAGCATTCGTACAGTATTACTAAATCTTTATACAGTATAATCTTTTTAATATTGTATATACTGTATGCTACACATTCTTTAAATACTTGGGTTTTTTCAATAACAGCTTAAATAATAAAGTTACATCTTAAATTCACATTAATATTGTTTAACTTCCTATTACTTACAACTACTGTAGCACGTTTTTTCTCAGCTGAGAAAAAACGCACAATAGTTGTGTATTAGAGGTTTTTTAGCCCTTCAACACCAATACAGTATACAGTAGTTTCTGAAAGTGTACAGTGCAGGGAACATCCGGAGAAACAACTAGTGTACATTAATCATATTAATAATATATAAACAAGAACAGGAAGGGTATTAAAAAGGACCTTTTCATTTAGCCAAGGAATTTCCCTGTACAGTTATGGTGAAAGAACTTAAATACATAAATTTGTTAGTTTTCGGTACATCTTCTAATAAAATAAGGTACTGTACAGTACTGATTCTTCCATTACAAAAATTATTACATATTCTATCAAGTAGCTCAATTACCGTAATACACTGAGTGTATGGAAATAATTTCAAAATCACACATGTACAGTACTGTATTTTGGGAGTTCATCAGAACACAATAAAGAAAATTAATATGTTGTACCGTATGTTCAACCTGCTGCAATAATACCTGATTCTTTTATAACAAATCAAGTAAATTCAGCCTAACTTTGCCCTAATATTACCTAACAACTAAAATACTGTACATTCTAAACCATTAGGTTAGAATTGGTTATCTGGTTTACTTTCTATCTTAGAAGATGGTTTGTACAAGTTTAATAAGACTGGAAAAATCTGATGTTTAAGACCAATGTATGATAGACTATGAAATACACTAAACAATGTCTAGTATGATGACTCACATGAGGCGGTACAACTGTGGGGTACGGGATGTTTGGGTTCACACTCAGGATGGGATGGAGAAAGGAAACTCACAATGTGCTCTCTGTATACATGTTGTATTGGATGTACAATGCAGCATGGTTACAAGCGTGATGTAGAGAGAGCTGGTTGGTGAGGGTGCTCAGAGGAGGACAGCTTGTGGGTCGCCATGCTCGCCGGCGGGAGCGAGGACCGCCAGGCAGGCGGTGGAGGAGGTGTTGCTGGCTGGTTGGTGTAGGTAGAAAGAGAGAGATCACCACGAGGTCAGGTCTTAAATAGCGGGGGGTAGGCGTGGCTTAGTAGTTGACCTCCGTGATGTATGGCGGCGCTGGTTGACCCAGATCACGAGGCATACACTGGGGAATTCGAGGGGTCGGCTACGCAGCAACAAACAGCGTTTGTAGGGGAGAAATCCACTACACAAGTACGTTTAAGGAATGTTAGTGGTGGGTAGTAGTAGGCCTACAGTGCAGTGGTGACACGCGTATCTCTCGCCACTGTACCTAATGAAATTTGCATTCAATTTACAATGTTATTCAATGCTTCCCACAACAGTAATATATCTTATCCAACAAAGAAGTTAATCCTTGCAGACTTTATGGTTGATGATGGTGTTGGGTCGAACGAGCCAGAGGATGAAGGAGAGTGTGTAGAGTGTGGTGAGGAGGCGAAGTTCTGCACCGGTTATAGCTTGTAGGGGGAGGAGGAGACACAGTGCTAACCCTATGCCACACCTCACCATTTCAACCAAGCGGCAGCAGGAGAGCCCATCATACAACACACCAATACAAGTAAGGGTCGCCACCACCGCTAAGCTGTACACAAACACCTCCACTGGAGTGCTCACCTGACGGGACGGACAGCGACAATGTAATTTATAGGTAGCACTACGCCACTGATTACTGAACTACGCGACAATTGTATGTATTATCAACATATCATGAATGGAATGTACTGTATTATAGTACACAGGAGTAATTTTGTATATAAAAGTAAAATAATAGGATTTAATTTTGTTTTAATGTATTAGTGACATGTGAAAGAAGTGTTAACGCTAGCTTGATAAAACACGTAAGTTACACAAAAGCCTGAGACAAAGCCTCAGACGTGATAATAAAATACCCAGTAAACTGGGTTGTATACATTACTCCTAACAGTAGTAAACCCAAATGGCCTAATATAATTATTGTTGCACATACCACTGTCGTAGTCAGGCGAGTGATGAGGGAGAGGGCCGCCAAGAAGTGTAGGAGGACATAGCAGTGTGTGGCAGCTGTTGCTCTTACCTTCTGATACTCTCTAGAAGCTCTTATCTGCAATATATACCTATATCAGGATTCTGTGTAACGTATCTGGAAACTTACTGAAATTCATTATAAGTTCCAGATCTATGAAATTGTTAAGTCATGGTAATTGTCACCGAGTCTTTGATTTATCAAATGTTCAATAACAAACACTTAGCTATTTATTTATAATCCGTACCAACAGGTTTAGCAAATCGATTTTATTCCCCAAATCGTTTCAGCAAATTCGCACCAGATCTCCTTTTTTTATTTTTTTTATTTTTTTTTGCCTTAACATCGTGTAGAGATGACTGGTTAGGCTCTGTTCACTTTAAATCTAGTAGACATTATTGTCTGCGCCTCAGTGACCAGACCGCATCAAATATAAATTTGCTTGGCTGATTTTTTGTCAGAAACTATCATTAAACACAAAAAATAACCTATATCTAATTATGTCTTCTACTATAAATTGACCCAAAAACGTAATTTAGCCAAATTATTCGTCTTCCTCCCTATAATCCTCGTTGGTAAATATGTAGTTTACTCTCTGGCCACTTTGAGCCAAGCGACCCCAGCGGCGTCGGTGCCATTTTGAGCAGTGAACGCTTACGCCCATTGGAGTGAGCTTGTGGGGTTATGAGATATTGGTTCACACTCAGGATGGGATGGAGAAAGGAAACTCTCAATGTGATCACTGTATACATACTGTATTGGACCCTCTTCCTGCTGACGCAGCCCCTGCTCCTGACCCAGGCCCACATACCCCAGCAGGCGCATCTGAGGACTCTGTACCTGTCGCGAGTGAAGCACAACATTCATCGCCTCCACAACCCTCCTTCTCCCTCTTTTCTCCCACAGATCTCGTGTATCTAGACAGAGTTGCCCCCTCCCCCCCCCTAGCGGCCGGCTCATCCACGCCCTCGCCGTTATGTCCCACATGTGGCATGCACCGTCCGTTCTGCCTCACATGTGGCACGCAACTCTGCCAACCTCCAGCCTCCCGCCACGCCCGGAGGGGAAGAGGAGTATTGTAGTGGATTCCTCCCCTACAAGCACCGAACCTTCTCGAATGCCCCAGCCTACGCCTCCAGCGCCGCCTACGGAGCGGGGGTCAACTATCAACCCACGCCTACCCCCGCCTTGTAAGGCCTGACACCGCTGTGACCAGCCTTTTTTCTACCCAGTGCCACCAGCAAGCAACACCTCCTCCCTGCTAGCCGGGCGGCTCCCGCTCCCGCCAGCGACCTTGGCGTCCCTCAAGCCGCGTGCCCTCTCTCTGGGCACCCTCATCACCCAGCTCTCTCTACTCAACGCTTATTACCATTCTACCTACCCAGCAACAAGCTGCATTGTACATCCAATACAATATGTATACAGTGAGCACATTGTGAGTTTCCTTTCTCCATCCCATCCTGAGTGTGAACCAATATCTCATATCCCTACAAATGGTGACCCCGGAGTGACCACTGCAAGCTATTCTCCTAGACTCTGAATCTTTGATCACAGTAAGTTCGGAGACTAATCCGTGACTCAGTTTCATCACGGGGAGCGACTGTATTGTACTGTAGTACATACAGTACCAACTTTTTGGTATAGTACCTGACAGTAACAGTGCATCACATCATAAACACAACTCTAGTTTCTTTTTCAATTACCCTTATTATTTTAATTAATTTCGTTGTGAATTCATATATACATTTCATTAATCTTAATTATTATTTTTCTTATAAAATTGAAAAAGTTTTGACTATAATGTACTTTATTCATATAACACTTACATCAGGCTTGTTTTCATCCCATCCCGTCCAGGGTGAGCCGGGTACCCAGCTAGGGCCCTTCACCAGTGAGCAGAGCCACTTGTCCCATGTGTCCATACTGTTCGCCTTCCCAACCGCTAACTTCAGGTAAAATATCTGCACAAGGAAGTGACAGGTTAGTCTCACTGTCCAGTGATTGACGGTAGTGCCAGGCGTCTGATGACTGGTGAATGATGGAGGTGGAAGGGTATTTTGTTTGAAATAACTGTTAAGGTGGTTAATTTCATCGCTGTGTGGCTAGGACTAGGTTAATTAAGTTTTAGTTACCATTAGATAATATATATGTTAAGGCACTACCTATACAATACATACATTAGCAATGTTAGAGAAAAATTACAACTAGGATATAAAGAGGCTAGGGATCAATGGGGACGTGGCGTGCCTACTGTAATTAATGGAGCTCCCTCTCAAGTCATGCAATCAGTGGTTCAAAGGGAGGCCCTGTGGCTGTGGTCGTCATCGGTGTTTTCCAATTCCCACACATAAACTGGATCACCTACATGACCACTTCGCCTCACTTAAAGTAATGCTTTTACCACTGCCTTTACATAGGCCTTCAGGATGCTTTCTTTGCTCAATGTCACAAACTTCAGCTTGCCAAATTGGACCATGTCTTCACTTTAAGGACCTAATGCTGTTGAAAACATCACTTCAGGGAGCCATTGAGAAAATGAAACCATAAGTAAGACACGGACTAACGTATGCAGCGTAACAAAAGATGCGGACAGGTTCAAACTGAATGTGTATTTGTTTATACTCAATTATTTACCTGGTGATAGATAAGGTTGCAACTCTCAGGCTGTGTTATGATTCCGTAAATTATCTCCTGGTCAGGCAGCTCATCTTGGTAGGTGCCAAACAGTCTGTCCCACACGATAAACAACCCAGCATAGTTCTTGTCCAGGCAGAATTGGTTGACTCCTGTTGTGAGAGTAATAAGTTTTCTTCACGAAAGAGGTTGGGAACTTCGTGCTTTGTCTTTTTTCCTTTGTGGTTATCAGCATATACATGGATCACGCGCATCTATATGTACAGTATATGTATTATGGGGATTGGCCTACCCGCGCACAGGTCACTGACTCACATCAGGGTCTGGGGGCGAAAATATAATTATAATAATAATAATAATAATAATAATAATAATAATAATAATAATAATAATAATAATAATAATAGTAATAATAATAAAGAACCTTAAATAAATACAAATATGAAAAAAGATCAAGAGTAAGAAACGATGTAGTATGTATGCTATGTTGTCAAAATAATAGAAACAATTGAGACCCTACAATTGTGTGTAAATGAGGTATAAAGTCAGTCAGATCAGCAACCTGGGACTTGGTCACAATTTTTGTGATGCCATATGGCAGCAGAGTCTACCTTATCTATAACCTCATATTTTACGGATTTATCATGTTTATTACTGTGGCTCGTGCCTCCTAATCCAGTGTATCGTAAAAAAAACGGATTATGATGTTCAAAGGCAGTGTATATGTGGTGCGTTTAACTTTATACCTTTTTACTTGAGCACCTTTGTTTTTACCTAACCACACACGTCATGATAGTTGCCTGACTTTACTGCACCGAGGATTCTGGTAATGTAGATTACAATCCTTGACTGTACTCGCAACATACACCGATCATTAACTCCTATTACCCCGAGTCTCAAAATATCCTCGTCATTTATTTTCACCTGTAGTGTCAGGATAATTTGGACATTAAGAATGTCGAGAAAAAAATATCGTATGAGTTTAAGTGAGCAATTTGTGATGCGTTATCACTTATCCAGCGGTAGTGAAAATTACCTTACAAATCTCTAAAGTATCATTGACCTAGCTATGATTTCATAAATATTATTAGAATCCAACTGTTAGTATCGTAGCTATAAAATGTGTTAAATATAACAGTGGATACATTATTTTGACATTGTATGAGATAAAACGTTTAAGGCCACGTTCACACGGGCGTGGATTCCTGTTGCGTGGAAACGCGCTGGTTAGAAATACACTGCACTTCAATGGGAGCGATCGCTCAAAACTATCACATTGAAGTCTGTGTATTTCTAACCAGCGCGTTTCCACACGACGTGAATAATCCACGCCCGTGTGAACGAGGCCTAAAATCGTAGGTTCTTGAGGCTATACTATTTCCAACTCGATACAGGAAGGAGCTAGGCTATCCCGCGACGCAACTACCACCTTGGCCTAAAACACACCACAAATGAATTTGTCTTGATACAACATAACTCAAAGACCAGGTCCTGTGTCATATACTCCACACCGCTTCCTTAGGCTTATTTCAAAGTGGATGTGAGAATATTTCGTAAAATAATTAGGGTTTTGTTTCAGCGTCAGATAATGTGGTGGTTAAAGGTGTATAACTAGATTGGTGGGTATCTATGCTGATTGTAAGTATTCCTTGTTTTTTGTGTGAGTGTTCCTCTAGAAGTTTAGTGAGTAATAAAACAAGTCACTAAATAATAGAAGGAAAGAACAGGTGTAGTACACAGTGTGGGTGAACAGTGGAAGGGGTAAGGATGACGCAGTGTGGGTGGGAGCTGTGTGCCAATTTGGCGGAAAACCCGCTAAATCTAGCGGATTGAACTTTCAAAATGCGGATGGCTTAGACTTTTTTGCTGATAGCTGATTTTAGGGTGCATTTTCTCTGGATTTGGCGGAAGTTCTAGCGGATTTCGTATACAAGATGATAAGAAAAAAACGGAAATTTAAAGTAAATAGAATACAGAGTAATCAGCAACCCAACCTCTCACATTCACCCCAGGGAATATTTCGGATACGAATTTGAAAAGACTTGCACCAACTCAAAGGTCAAATCTATCAGAAAAAGCAGAGCGTGATTTTCGCCAACGCTGCATATCTTGTGTTACCAGTTTCTTTAATAAGTTAAAAAACAGACTTACTGATAACTTCAAACTCTTGAGGAAAAGGTCTCTGTTTTCAGTAGTGGAATGTCTCAGAGTTGTGAAGGAACCAATAGTAGAGATAGCTGAACTTTTTGGGTACCATCCCCAAAAATTGACCGAATTGACAATCAGTGGCGCAACTTAACAATTGTTAAATGGCACGAGACCACAACAGTAAAATTTTGGATTAAGGTAAAAGATTACAAGAATGCTACAGGAGTAAATCCTTTTCGTGACCTCTGTGAATTAGCTCTCTGTGTACTTCCCTCCCTCACTCTAATGCTGAAGTCAAGAGACTATTTAGAAAACTAAATGTTGTTAAATCAAAGCTCAGAATCGGTTGAATACAAGTTCAGTCTGTGTGATTATTGCAGTGAAAAGTGGACTCCGAAGAGTTGGAAAATATTGTCATTCGTATGAACTACCAAAACAAGTGGTAAAGCAAATAGGTACAATGGTAGCATACAGTTCATCGACAGCAAAAACACCAGAAGCTGGTTCAAGCTCTTCTTCTAATACCCAATTACCCATGTCGAAATTAAAAACGCGAGTAGGAGTGTCAGACCTGAGGCTTGAAGATGGTAGTTACGCAAATTCTGATCAGGATAAAGCTGAGGCATTGAACAGCTTCTTTTCCTCGGTGTTCACAAGAGAGGATGCGATTAACCTTCCTGCGTTTGAGGACAGACGGTTCGACACAGCACTGACCCACATTGTGTTCACAGAAGAGGGTATTAGAAATAAACTGTCAAAGCTAAAGGTCCATAAGAGTCCCGGCCCTGACATGGTGCATCCTAGAGTGCTAAGAATGTTTAGCAACGAGCTTGCCGAGCCCCTGAAGATCCTGTTTTGTAAATGTCTGGATGAACAAAAGGTCCCCAGTGAATGGAAAGTGGCTTATGTGAGTCCTATCTTCAAGAAGGGCGATCGTCACTCCACGAACAACTATAGACCGGTGAGCCTGACCAGCATAATATGTAAAGTACTTGAGAGTATTATCAGACATGCCACAATGGAACATCTACTACGAAACAACCTTGTAAAGGAATGCCAACACGGTTTTATGCCGGGGCGCTCCTGCCTAGCACAATTGCTCAAGGTATTGGATATGTGGACCCATATTCTGGAACGGGGTGGTAATATCGAAAATATTTACCTAGATTTTGCCAAGGCTTTCGACAGTGTAACCCACGAAAAGCTGAAAATCAAACTGGAAGGTTACTTAATTCGGGGAAATGTCCTAGCGTAGATAGAAGACTTTCTACATGACTGCAAGCAGTGTGTGGTGATTAATGGCAGGAAATCATCATTCGTACCTGTCACAAGCGGGGTACCACAGAGCAGTGTATTGGGCCCGCTGTTGTTTGTTTTTCATAAATAACATGCCTGACGTTGTACACTCCTCCATACAAATGTTTGCCGATGACGCCAAGTTATTTCGGGAAATCAAGAACCAAGCGTACTGTGAAGAGCTGCAGAAGGACCTCTGTGGGCTCCAAGAATGGTCGAAGAAATGGCTGCTGAGATTCAATGTCACGAAGTGTAAGAGGATGCACCTTGGGGCGTACCAACGGTAAGGAGGCGTATCATATGTCCCAACGGGATGAATAAACTGCACTATTTGAGACTGAATGTGAGAAGGACCTAGGTGTGTATGTTGACAATGAGCTGAAGTTTTCGGGCCATTGCGAGAAGAAGGTAAATCAGGCATATAAATTATTGGGTCTTATAAGAAGGTCGTTCAGATATCTAGACGTTCCGTCCCTCGTAACGATCTTCAAGAGTGAAGTGCTTCCCCATCTGGAGTACTGTCACCCCGTCTGGTCCCCGAGAAATGCTAGGGACTGTCAGTTGGTTGAAAATGTTCAAAGGAGGGCCACCAGACTGGTGCCTGCCCTTCGGCACCTCAGCTACCCTGAAAGATTGGAGCCCCTGACCTTGCCTAGCTGATACTACAGACGGGCAAGGGGTGACCTAATTGAGGTGTATAAGCATCTCAAGGCGCACTACTCAGACGAGTGTCCTTACTTGGAGCTGGCGGACGCTCGCCCCACAAGGGGTCACAGCTCAAGATTGAAGAAGCCGCAAGTCCAGAAAACTGTGATGGCAAACTTTTTCGGAGTGAGAACTGTGAACTCTTGGAACAATCTACCAGAAAGTGTTGTGACGGCACCGAGTGTGAGCTCTTTCAAGACAAGACTTGACCAACACCGGAGCGGGTTCAGGTACATTCAGGAGCCGGTGCATGCCCAGTACCTGCCAACAGTGCGTAACAGAGACGTGACCGATCGCCCAAGCGGCTAACGAGCCGATCTTTCGGTGAAGAGGATAAAAGAAAAGGAAAAATAATCAGAGACGTGACCTATCTTCCAAGCGGCTAACGAGCCGATCAGTGGTGAAGAGGATAAAAGTAAAAGTATAGAGATTGAAGAGGAAGAAGAGGAAGGCATAATTTTTTCGCTGAACTAAGTGGTGAGTACTTAACATTTGTATATTTACTTAACATTTGCATATTGTTTAGGGTACGTGCATAATAGCGGATTTCTAGCAGATTCTATCGGTCAATCTAGCCGATTTTCACACCAACCACATTTGGCAACACTGGGTGGGAGTGAAGGACGAGGGCGACCTACCATGATGGACACGGTGGTGGGATGGGGTGTTGAATATATACTCGCACGGTCCCAGAGTACGTATAGCCTCCGTGTGGATCCAGCATTGGAAGACCAAGTTGAACTGGGCATGGGCGAGCATGTGGGCCGGGGGAACGCCCAACACGGCCATGGGGAGATAAAACACCCACAAGAAGAGCCGCTGGAGTGGGGAGTGTCTGAGGCCAACAGCCACGGTGAGGTCCTGACTAGTGTGATGGACTTGATGCACTGCCCACAACACCATAATCTCTGCACGAAACACACGCATTGTCATTGTTGCAATTAAAAACACTTATTTCTACTGTCCGCTGTATATCAATCCCAAATCTGAAGATATTAACAGAATAAAGCAATTAAACATATAGAGTGAATAAAATTAGCAGATTAAACTAAGTAGGCAATAACTAGCAGAATTCACCAACCATGGCTGGCGCGGTGCAGCCAGTAGTAACAAAAGTCGGTGAGCACCACCAGGGCGAGGGCAGCGAGAGGGGAGTCGCCCAGTGGAGGGAGGATGGCCCATTTCTGCCACACCAACACATACACCCAGTACTCGAACCCACGCACTAAGAATCTTGTAGTACACGTTATAAAGACACACAAATAAGCATTTAGTAAATAAAGTCATGCAAATGTAAGGTTGAGAAATAGGTATTGAATAAATAATCACCGAATATAAGTTATCTTTTAGTGCATTAACTTAACTTGTTATTTTTGTTTTGTTAATTGCTATTATATCACATGGACCAAAAATATTCTGTAGCCGAATATGACACAGTTGGAAATTGGTTCATATCTGCCCAGTGGGATATTTTCAATTGGCATTTTGTCCATCGGAAAATTGTCTGGTGGGGTTTTGTCCATTGATATAGGGTCTGTGCAAAGTATTTTTTATAATTATGAAACCGAGTAGTATAAGAGGAAGCAGATAGACAAGAGGATTCTTACTTGGTGACTTCATAGAATGTAGCGTGAGCCAGACTGAGGATGTTGTCGTGCAGTACAGGAAGACGCGCGTCCTGCCACCACAGAGCTAAGTACTCCACACCCACCAGCCACATCACCCACCACAAGGCCTGCACAAACACACACACACACACTACTCTTAGTTTACCGACGTGATATATTACAGGGATATGGTTTTGTCTCACATGTCTGCAATGACGTAAAGTTGCAACCATTAGTAGTAGCACAAAGAACTCCTAAGGTGCTTGAAACAGAGGAGGGGGATTCGATGAAAAGCAGGGTCGGACCTAGATGGGTTATATACAAAGGGAAGCAGTCCCGACAAGTGCACCAGTACAGAACTAGGGACCAGCGAAGGCCCCCCAGCACCCCCCGCCCCCTCCCCCCTGCATCTCGTCGACCTCCCACTGAGGAAGAGGTACATAGGCGTCACCAAGGAGATCTTCAGCCACACAAACAACCCGGCTATGGAGACACTGAGAACCACGATGAACGCCATTATCGCCCTTACCCCAAAACAAGGAAAAAATCCAGCCGTCCCTCCAAATTACAGCTCGATCTCCCTCCTCGAAGTACCTGGAAAAAATCGTGAATAATATGAGAAATCACCTGGAAACGACCAACAGGATCAACTGCAGACAATTTAGGTTCAGGAAAGGGAAGTCCACCTCAACAGAGACAGCCCTGGCATATGAGAACTTTAAGACTTGGGTGATACGAGTGTACTCCATATGTGACTTACGTCTCAACCGTAAAAATTACGCTTCATTTATTAGTGATACCAGATCCAAAACTTATGAGATCCGAGAATCTTAGTATTTATGTGTCATTATACGGGACCACAATGTTTTTATTCGTGTGTGTGTTTTGTCAGCATTTACTTCCTTTAATTCTTTTGCATTTGATTATACCTGGCGTAGGATTGGCGTTTTATCATGATTTGTTAATGAATTCTAGTGACTAGTGGATCTGGCAATAATTATAAAAAATTATCATAAGCCTTGTGGCTTAAACAGTTGACACCACAGTTCGTGATAGAGAGCTATTACCTCGGATTGTATCTGCTGCAGGAACAAATACGGTATTTTATGACGGCGTGTGTACCCATGACAGAACCTACACACACGCCGCCCTAGCTTATTTCACCTGTGACATCAATAGTTCCAGCTTCCTACCCGTGCTCTCCTCACCCAGCAAAATATTCTTTGAAGTTTTCTTCATCCAATCTTAGCTCTTTTACCAAAGTATTGTAGGTTCCAAATTTAGACCGATACAACAGCAATTAATGCACCCACCATCTGTGTTTCCTTGACCGTTTTCCCTTTGCATTACGCATGATCTTATACAAAACCAGGATAATTAATAGCAAATTATCCTGTTCATATAAATAGAGCCGTAGCTTTGATGTGCTGGGAGCCATCTTTCCTGTCCTGTTCCCGCTAAGACAGAATATTCAGTTGCAAATGGAAACAGGGGTGTCCGTTTTCCAAGGCAATTTAACGCAAACGCATATATGGAATCCTACTTTTAATCTAACGCTAACGTAACGTAACGCAACGTAACGCAACGCAACGTAATGTAACTTAACGTCTTCAGGTAGCATTGGAGTGTTTAATCATCAGGTGAGATAAACTGGGTCCCCAATCTTCAGGTGATCCTATAAATCTTAAGGCACGAGCACCTAAACTGGCTATTTTTCAAATCTGCAAGCAAATCCGGCACTACAATTAGTAGCTCTCCTTTGAACTTGGGAGGGATGCCGATTTCGGGCAAGTGAAGACCAACATGGAGTTGAGAGAAACCGGGAACTCTCGCTGGAATCTTCTGATTTATTGTCAGATTTGTTTACCAGCTTGAAATTTTCGATGCTCGTGTGACTTCACTTTCTGTTTAAGGTGACTGGCTGCGCTTGTGATGTAAACTGGCAAGACAACGAGTATGAACACATGAACTACCACGTTTATAGCGACGCAAAGGACTGAGCGTAGTGTTGCGGTTATCATGAGACTCCTAAAGACTGGTTTAAATACTAAAGCTGAGTATCGGTGTCAGGAATATGACACCACTTCTGGTGAATTTTTCTTTTTGTGGTAAATATGAAGAAGGTTGTGATCTGATCTCCTCACTTGGTGTCTGTACGATTCGGCATTGTCAGTAATGAGGCATGGGAGAGTTAGAATAAGAATTATACCGAGACATTTTATTGGTGCCCTGGTAAAGATTATATTAAAGTTGAAAAACATTATTATAATATAGAATGGAGTGCTAACTAACATTTATGTTTTGGCGGAAAAAATAAATAAATAGATGCCATTGTAGGGGTATCGAGATATTAATGTTGTCTAGCACTCAGGATGGAAGGAAACTCTAATGTGGTTTTTTTATATAATATAAGTTATATGATAGACAGTCTGGTGCTGGAGATGCCGTGTGGTGAGGAGCTGCTCAGTAGAAGACGTTCGGTGAGTAGCGTGTTGAAGGAGGTAGATGTGCAGGAGCTTCGTTAGAGAAGATGTTGCCTGTTGCTGGCCTCCTGGTTGAATGAATGTTAACAGCGTGGAGCTTGCTGGAGGAGGTGTTGCTTGTTCAGGAAGATGGGCAGAATGAGAGTTGGTTGGTGAGGAAGCTCAGAGAAGGACAGCTGGTGGGTCGCCATGCTCGCTGGCGGGAGCAAGGACCGCCAGGCAGGCGAGGAGAAGCGAAGGCAGCCAGGCAGCGGCGGAGGAGGAGGTGTTGCTTGTTCAAGAAGAATGGTCAGAATGAATCTCAATGGAGAGACAGAGCTTATATAACCAGCAGCAGCCGCCAGTCCTCTATGAATCATGTTGGGAAAACCCAGAAAGTCGCCGGTGACTAGTTCCGTTGCTAAGATACGGTAACATGTGGTTGGTTGCTAGGGAAGGCGGTAGCAGGTGGTGGCTGTGGCTACGCAGTTGTAGGCAGTTGTAGGGGAGACGTCCACTACATTATTATTATTACTTCACTCCACAATTCATAAACACTCCTACCAACATGACCACTCATTTTTTTACTTAATAAAAATGCGATCATCTACGAAACAGACTTTATAATATAGCGTGGAAGATCGTGTGAATTAATAATTAGTGTGTTTATCACGTTACTGTTTGTATCCCCCTATCTTTATTCTTCTCTTGTACATTTGTGTGTTTACCTTAGCACTTGCAACACTCCCAATATATGTAAACTATGTACTGACAGGAAACTTACTAAACTTCAAAATTATTATCTCTAAAACGACGTAATCTTTTTGTATGCAATGTAAAATTAATAAAACTTTTACTTTTGCTTTACCGTTATCCTCTTCACCACTGATCGGCTCGTTAAATTCTTGGGCGATCGGTCACTTCTTTGTTACGCACTGTTGGCATGTTTTTGTTGTTGTTGTTGTTGTGTTATTAAGAGTTGTATGTTATTAACACCTGTATGTTATAAAGACCTGTATGTTATTAAGAGCATTATGTTATTAAGAGTTGTATGTTATTAAGACCTGTATGTTATTAAGAGCATTATGTTATTAAGAGTTGTATGTTATTAAGAGTTGTATGTTATTGAGAGTTGTATGTTATTAAGAGTTGTATGTTATTAAGAGCTGTATGTTATTAAGACCTGTAAGTTATTAAGACCTGTATGTTATTAAGAGTTGTAGGTTATTAAGAGCTGTATGTTATTAACACCTGTATGTTATTAACACCTGTATGTTGTTAAGGACTGTATGTTCTTGAGAGCTGCATGTCATTAAGACTTGTATGTTATTAAGAGTTGTATGTTATTAAGAGCTGTATGTTATTAAGAGCTGTACTTTGTATGTTATTACGACCTGTACTTTATTTATACAGTAGTTGTATGTTATTAAGATCTGTAAGTTATTTGGAGCTGTATGTTATTAAGGGTTGTATGTTTTTAAGATCTGTATGTTATGAAGACCTGTATGATATTAAGAGCTGTAAGTTATTAAGAGCTGTATGTTATTAAGAGCTGTATGTTTTTAAGATCTGTATGTTATTATTTATACTCTAACGATAAATACAGCTAAAAATATTTACCGTTTTCCGTTTTAGTGTGACGGAGGGTGTGTTAGGGAGGATGTGTGAGGGGGGTGGTGTGAGGGAGAGTGTGTGTGTGAGGGAGGATGTGTGAGGGGGGTGGTGTGAGGGCGAGTGTGTGTGTGTGAGGGAGGATGTATGGGGGAAGTGGCGTGAGGGAGGTGGTGTGAGGTGGGTGTGTGAGGGAGGTTATGATGTGTGGGGCTTCACTTCCACTATTACTGTTCCTCACCTGTAGCGTATAGGGTGGCACACTGAACGACTGCCCCGCCTCTTCTTCTGTGCAATAGATGTCATTCTCAGCCGCCAGTTGACTCACAAACTTGAAGTTCAAGATGTCCTTCACTCTCGAGGCGACGTGATTTATAGCCGTCTCCAACTCTCCCCCTTTTAACATGATGCACTGATGATCATATACTAACTCTCACGGTGTCTTGATGTTGGGTTATGTGAAGCAGAGTGATGGTGGTAGGAGGAGGAGTCTTGTAGTGGATGGTGGCTGGAGGTAGAATGCCAAGTGTGGGTTAACTTGGCGGTGAGGAAAGCTCGCTTCTCGTGACGAGAGTAGGTAGCGGGACACACCACCACCACCACCGTCACCACTACCTCCTCCTTTACCACCACCGCCACTACCTCCTCCTCCTTCACCACCACCATCACCTCCTCCTCCTCCTCCTCCTCCTCCTCCTCCACTACCACCACTTCTTCCATCACCACAACCTCTATAGCTTCATCTTCAACTCCCATCACCACATCCACCACCACCACTACCTCCTCTTCAACCACCACCACGTCCACCACTACTTTGCTGTCACTCGGAATCGATGACGATCATCCAGCTATGATACAATGGTAGGATGTATTATGGATGTTACCTTCGTTGGTGAGCTCTGAGGTGACTCGAGAGGCAAATACGGGACCGGCAGGGTCGTCCACAGATGTTGCAAGTGTGGAGGGCTACATCTAGTGCGGGAGGGGCGGCGGGAGCGTCTTTCCGGCGCTGGCGCTTGTCTGCTTCGGTATGCAGTCGGGCTAACTCGAAAGTATTGACACCTTGCATGGTGCTCCTCCAAGCGTTGCGGTGTGGACTGATCGTCTCCCAGGTGAGGGGGTCGATGTGGCACTTTCAGGTTTGTCTTAAAACTATCCTTATACCTTTTCAGTTGCCCGCCAGCGTTACGTTTACTATTTGTTAGGTGACTGTAAAGTAGCTGCTTTGGCAGTCTACTGACGATCATGCGGGTAACATGGTCAGTCCAGCGTTGTTGTTCATGGATAATGGTAGCCTCGATGCTCTAACAATTGGTGTCTGTGAGAATACTGGCATTTGTTCAATTGTCTTCCCAGCGAACTCGGAGGATAGAACAGTACACTACCACCGCAACTACCACCAGTATTACCAGCTCTTCTTCTACCACCATCACCAATAACACCGCCACAATCATCACCACTAACACTATCATCTCTTCCACTGTTCTATACCACCACTACCACCAACCAGTATTACTACCTTATCTTCCACCACCACTACCACTTTTTACTTACTTTTACCCTTTACACCACTGATCGGCCACTTGGATGGTCAGTCATGTCTCTGTTAAGCAATGTTGGCATGTACTGGGCATGCACTGGCTCCTCAATGTATCTGAACTTGTTCCAGTGCTTGTCACGTCTGGTTTTGTATGAGCTCACACTCGGTGCTGTCACAACACTCTCTGGCAGGTTGTTTCACGAGTTTACCTCATCTTCCACCATCACTACCATCACCACAACCACTACCTACTCCTCTTTCACTACCACCACCACCACCTTCTCCATCACTACCACCATACCAGCTCCACCACTTCTGCCACCACTATATTCACCGGTGACCGGATAAAACCCCAACGGACAAAACCCCAGTCTCATATATAAAATATAAAATAAAACACTTTTAAGCTTAGGTTAGGTTAGGTTAGGTTAGCTTAGCCTAGGTTAGGTTAGGTTAGTGTTGACAAATGACAACCCCGTTGGGGTTTTGTCATGAAACCATATTCACCACCACCACCACTACCAAGGTTCGAATTACATGTGAGAAAGATGACTGAAAATAATACCCAGTGTGAACCAGTACTACTTGTAGAACCATACCCTCACCACGTATGTTTATAAAATTAGGGAAATATTAACCTGGTCTCTACTTTATCCTCTTCACCACCTGTCAAATTCCTAGCCGGCCGGGAGGTCGGTTAAGTTCTGTTCCACGACAGCCTATCCCATGAAAAGTTGAAATTTAAACTGGAAGGGTATGGAATTCAAGGAGTGTCCTAGCGTGGATCGGACGGAGACTTTCTTCGTGACCGAAACACTTTCGGAGACCAAATGTGAAAAGGACCTGGGTATGTACAGTACGTTGACAACGAACTAAAGTTCTCGGACCATTGTGAGAAGAAGGTGAATCAAGCGACTAAGCTAGTAAGATGCTTTCCCGTCTGGAGTAGTCACCCCTCGTGGTCCCCGAAATATGCTGGAGACAGTCAGTTGATTGAAAATGCCCAAAGGAGGACCACCAGTCTGGTGTCTGCACTATGGCACCTCAGTTCAGGGTGACTTAATATAAGTCTATAAACAACTCAGAGGTGGTGGGTGCCCGCTCCACTAAAGGTCACAGCGTAAGGTTGAAGAAGCCATAAGTTCACGAAATTGTCAGAGCAAACTTTTTCGGAGCGAGGGTTGTGAACTCTTGGAACAGTCTGTCAGAGAGTGTTGTGACGGCGTCGAGTGTGAGCTTATTCAAGAACCGTTGACATGTAACTTAACACGAGACTGTTGACACGTAACTCTTGATACTTGACTGTTGACTTTGTGAGTGTTGACAAGTGGCTGTCGACACGAGATTAATGACAACTGAATGTTGAGATGAGACTGTTCACATCTGACCGTGATGCGTGACTGATGATTGCTGACACAGCAGCTGTTGATATGAAACCTGTCCTGTGATGTATTCAAGTCATATCCAGTTACACCAAGTTACCCGCCCCCTGGCTGAGTTACCGCAGTCTACCCTGTGAGAAGAAGGTGACCACTGCCCAGTGTCACTTTTTACTTTTTTACTTTTATCCTCTTCGCCACTGATCGGCTTGTTAGCCGCTTGGGCGATCGGTTACGTCTCTTTTCATTCATCTTCTTCACCAAAAGATCGGCTCGCTTGCCGCCCGGGCGATCGGTCACGTCTCTGTCACGCACTGTTGGCAAATACTGG